AAACTGTGCTCCTAAATCATGTTGCAATTCAAAAGGTTGTAGCTGTTTCAGAATTACAGCAGCAGGGAATTCAGTGTTTCCACAGGGGCACAATAACACGGAAAAACTAAGTGTAGATGACAAGACAATGCAAATTAATAATATATAATAATACAGCCCAAACTACATATACCTATGTAGGAAAACAACTAAGAGACAGATGGCTGGCAAACAATTTTCCCTATGGCTTTTGTAAATGTCCATTCAGCGCTTGTATTTGGGTCATTTTCTAGGATAAACCCCATGTGACAGGCTCAGTGGAGGTAAGGTGGAGTGGTGTGTGCTGGCTTTACATACTTTAAATTTACCGTTGAGATGTACTTGTTCAAAAAGTAACACTAACCTTTTCTACATAGATTTGATCAAACAATCAAAACAGCTAGAAAATAAAATATCACGTAAAATATTTCATACACTATACATTGTATCTACCTGCATTCCCCTCCCCCCCCCCAGTGGCTTATAAACTGGGAAGGAAATTAGAGCAAAAAAACAACTTGTACACACTGGCTTTTTCCAATAAAGACCTGATGAGACAACCTTTGATACAAACCAAACTCCTCCCTTATTTACTTTGATGTTATAAGTAACTCTTTCGAAACATACTTTTAAATACCAGGCATGCCTTCAATAGTTGAACATACAAGAATTTTAAGATACTAATCCCAGGTTGGTCCGAGGTAAATCTATTAGAGAACATTTAGAGGGAAGTTAGTGTGATTATTTCACAAGGGATCCTATCAAGTCAAAAACCCAAACTGAAAATATAACATTAAAAGACTAATAGTTCAATATCTTTAGGGAAAAAACAGGCTTTTTAAAAACTTGTTAACATGCCTTCAATCCTTCATTCCTCCTTTTTAAATGCTGTTAGTCAAAATCTTTATGACATTAAGGAAAATCATCTTAACTAGCGTTTCCATAAAAACTAAGATGTACATTTACACCTAAATGAATAGCTAAATTAGGAATATGCTATTAAGAGCTTGGAGTAGTTTTGACTCAAGAGCAGAAATTTCTGTTGTGGAGATGCTTCTCCAAGTTTCACAATTATTGCCCCATGGAATAGCTAAGAAACTTAAAGGTAATGTTAATGATCATGGTTGGGTTTAACAAATGCAAAATGTGAAAAAAGGGGAAAAAATTTCAAAGCAGCTACAAACGCATTTCCCAATTCCTAAAACTCAAAATGTCTTTTTTAAAAAAATGCATTACTTTACTCACATGAGAATAAAAACATGTATTACTTGCATTATCTCCTTATTTACTTGTTATAAAGGGCATGCCATCCATTAGATGGCTTGTGCAAAATGAAATCAGACTACAAAATAACAGGGTTTACTTCTGTTGCGTGGAAATAAACTGACTCCTCTTTTACTGTTATCTCTATGCAAAACATATTAACAGTGCTCTTTTTAAAGAGAATGAAGGGAAAATAATGCAATGTTATCCTCAACAAAATATATGAGAGTAGAGCATTTGAGGTCAGCAAGTTTTTTCCACTGACCTAAACACCAAATTTCTCCAGAAAATGAGGGGGTCCTTCAAGAAGTCACATGCAACATGACTTAAAATTTGGCAAAGACTGCATATTTATAATTCCACTTTTACTCTAACCACAATTTAGGATTCAATACAGTCATTACGAGATTGAAGGCAAGAGGAGAGAGGGTGAAGTTGAAACCATACATGCTTTTTCATCAGATATGGTGAATTCTACTCTTCTGTTTCACTGCATCCTAGCCATATTCCTAAGTTTAACACAGAAACACTTGTAAAATATTAAATTTTACCATAGGGAAATTGATTTTGCTCTAAGAAAGTTTCAGATTACCACTTAATCTCATCCAAGCTACATCAAACACTAAAAGTAATTACATATATATTGTTTATAAAGTAAACTTGATCACTATATTTAAAAGAAATGATAACTTTGAGAAGTACCACAGCAATAATTTTTAAGCTGAAGCAATATAAAAGCACTCCTACAGTAAATGCCAGATTCTTCAGCTCAAAACGTCTTGATTTAGTTAAGCAAGTCAAGCGTAAGAGCCACCTCCCTCCGTGAATGCTGCTCTTCCTTTGTAGCCCTGGCCTCTTCTTACAGAACTGAATTTCACAAAAGGTCCTGGGGGGGGCAGTGGAACCCACAGATGGAGCTTAAACAAAGTTTTAAACTTGTCTTTGTAGTCTGAAAAGGAGTGGTGGAAATAAACATATTATCATTATCCTGGTTTCTACTTGACTCCCCAGCTCTCTTTCCCGTCAGACCCCAGTGAGTTAGAGTAGTTACAAAGTAGTGTATCTGAGAAGCCACCATTTGCAGTGTGCATCTTGGCACTGAATCACTGGAATATGCAACACAGACACCAAGTAAGTCCCATGTTCCTATTAACATATATTTCATAATTTCCAGGGTACATAAGAATCAAGTTTGATACTTTTAAGATTACATACTCTTAGGAGTAAGTGACTGCATATGCAGTTTTGCACAAAGAAAATTAGCGTAAAATATACTTTTCAAATTGCAACAAAGTATGATTTATATGTGTAGACCCTAGACATCATATCATATATAATGGGGGGGGGGCTAAAAAATGTATACAAGTGGACACTTTGGTGAACGTTGCTCAAGCAGTAATTCGTCATCATCAGAAGTGTCTGGATGCTGATGGCAACCACTTTGAGCACCTCTTGTAACTGCAGAAGTCAAACTGACTTGTATTCATCTTGTGTTACCAGTATATGTTGAGTATTGCAATTTTAATAGGTTTGTTTAAATAATGTATATACATTTTTAATGTGTATACATTTCTTAAAATGTGTATACATTTTTTGTCACCCTCTGTATCTGTATATCATACAGTAGGCATGCTATCAATTAGACAATATGGGTAAGTCATCACATTAAATTCATCTATGTAGTTAGGTAAAAGTCAGGAATTTTCACATTCCATTCAGCCTACAGCATGTAAAGAACTTACAACTGTTAACCCTCAAAGCACAACTTTTTTATCATCATACTTGCACCATTCTCCCTAAGTTATAAAGTCCTAACACTTCTGACTGATGACTAGAGAACACAAAATAAGGACTAAATGAACAGAAAAATGTACATGCAAATTTAGTTTAGTTTCAGCCTTAATCTTTACAAGAGAGTTTCTTTCGACATGTACTTTTTAAAGAATGGAGAGCAATAAACAATAGCATACGCTAGGAAAGCTGGATTTACTACAGTGTTCTATGATAGTTACAGTATTATATGCAATATGATACAAGTGACTTTTTTTATAAGCCGTATATTCTTGGCTTAAATGTTTGCTATTCAAACTGTCCCCAACAGAGTCAGTAACTGCCCAGATTTGTCCCTGAGCTTATGTTATGAAAAGTTACCCATCTTTGGAAGCAAGAGTTTCTCCTCTACTACCCTGGAAATAGCAGGTGCACGATCACCCAAAATTGGAGGGAACAGAGGCAGCTGCTCTCAGACGTTTATTTCTCAGAGCATGTAGCATCATGCTAAAATCGGTACACTGCCTAAAAGCTGAGGAAAAGTTTACATCTAACAGTGGCTTCCTAGCAACGAGTCTCTGATAGACACTACATCAAATGCATTAAGAAAGGTCTGCTGGACGTGGTCGCACCTACTGTGATTTCACAAGAGACATGTGGGTGTTCACTAAGATTCGCTGACTGAAGGCATACATCCATGAACAGGCTTTTAGCCGGGGAGTGGGCACACCAGAGAATACAGACAATGTCTAATTACCAGCAGGAGAAGATGCTGCCTTCACCTCCCCTCACTACCAACCACTTAGCGTAAGTTCACTGGCTGCCTGGCCCTGACCCTGGGGATCCATTCACTTTCCCTAGCCCAGAGAGGCTGCTGAAAAGCTGTCAAAGTAAATCTGTGCTCACTTTTTGGATAGTTTAATTTCAATGGAGCATGAAGCTCCCCAGGCCCGTTAATAAGTTTAGCCAGGCATACTGTTCTCCCTAATATATTTTAATTATGCATCTGTTTTAATTGTAATCAGATTAAGTCACCGGAAAGGACACAAATTGGAATTTTCCCTAATGGCTATTGGAGCTTTTCATCAGTTTCTAAACACTAACAACGTTTAATAAATAGGTAGAGACACGACCACAAAGGTGACATTTTCCAGAAGTCGATGTAGTTTCTTTGACAATACAGTTCAGGTCTCATTAGCCACCCAAACTAACCCAAATGCAAAAGACAACTTCAATCTCTAGGGGCGTCTTCTTCCACTATTAGCACAAAAGAATCGCTAACGTCTAATGCAAAACTCCCAAACAGAAATGAAAGCCCAGGCTTTTTATAAAGTGCTATTCCATCGATTGGTGAGAGAGGCGGGGGAAGCAGACGCGACCAGCAGCAACATTATCTTGGCTCCAAGTACACTACAAACGTCAAAAGGGAAAGTTGAAGCAAAGAGTACGATCCTCTCTTTCCATTATTTTGGCAACTGTCACACGTGTGTTTTAACCTCGGGAAATAAAAGTGTCCCATCAATAAAAGGAAACGTTACAGGGAAGATCTATTGGGGGTGGGGGGCCGGGGGAGACGGCTTTCTTCCAGCCCAGACGTAAAATCGCTCAATGTGCTTTTGTTGCACCAAGGAATACCTAAGACTTGTTTAAAAATATGTTCATTAAACAGTTTCCTAAATTGCTGCGATTTCCGCTAAGAAACTTAAGCGTCTGCCAACAGGCGAGAAGCAAAGAACCTGCTGCAAACTAGGAACCCAAAGTCCCTCAGCCCGCCCAGCGCGCTCGCCTCCCGGGTGTGTTTGCTTTAGGTGTTAATGTTTACGCGTCTCCTAAAACCTTCAGGTGCTAGACCAGCTCTTCCAAGACGCGCTTCCAGCCTCAAAGCGGGAAGCTTCAGAGCTACCACGGAGTCCCCACGCAGCCCGCCACCCCTTCTCTCACCACCTTACCTGTCATCATAGCAGAAATCCGCACTTAGGGTGTTGAGATACAAGGCGAGCCCCAGCGCGCTGCTCACCAACTCTGCAATCATCTCTCCACCGCCTTCCCTCCGGCTCGGCTCCCAGCGCGAGGGCAGCAGCGGCAACAAAAAACAGAAGCATCAATCTCCACCTTCCGCTGCCTTCTCCTCCCAGCTTCACTTTTCCCTCGCCTCCCCACCCTCCGTCCTCTCCCTCCCTTGGGTCCTTCCAATCCACCGCTCTCTTCCTCCTCCTCAGCCCGTCTCCGCAGCTCCTGTGTCCTCCCCGGGTGCGGGCTTACACCGCGCTCCACATGCCCGGCGCCCGCGAGCGGCGAGCGGCGTTCGGGCTCCGCGCCCCCCGGCGGATGCACAGGGCTGGTCCTTCCCGCAGCTCGAGGCCCCCACCCTAACCCATGGCAATTCGGGATGCCCTAGGTGAGGAGT